AGTTCAGATTTCGGGGTCAAAGGGAAATAAATAAAAAACTGGAGAAGCTATATAATCTTGCTGGGACTCAGCAAGTCCCAGTTCCTCCTTGGTCAATTGGGAATAATAGAGGTTAACTTACAGAGTTGTTATGAGAACAGAAGATACTATGAAAAGCACTTACTCAGGGCCATTCAATAAATGGCAGCCACTCCTGCTACTGGAAGCTAGTATTCCGGGATGTAAACAAGCTGGTGTCATATGGTACCACAGAGGAAGGTGGGCCAGGCATGGTGGAAGGAAAAAGTGGTAAACTTGGGGTGCAAATAACAAAGAGTCAGAGAAGCAGGAGGCTGAAGGAAAGCAGTGGCTGATCCCCAAAACTGATGTCCTTCACTCTATAAAAGAGAGAAGATGAGCTGAGCTTCCTCAGCATCAAGGGTGCAGTTCTGGGCCCTACTGGATCAGGCCAGATTCCATATCTAAGTAGCCAAATGAATCTGTGGGCTGCCTTCCCAGACCACACACTTTAACACAAGGGCCAGGGACTTAGATTCCCTGAGCAACTACTATGTGCCAACATGATGCTTGACAGCACAAAGCTGGCACAAAAGGTTAAAGCCTGAGATGAGTAGATATTTACCTATCTTATATTGGAAATCAGTCCTGAATATTCAGTGGAAGGACTGATGCTGAAGCTGAAACTCTAATCCTTTGGCCACCTGATGCAAAGAGCTGACTCACTGGAAGAGACCCTGATGCTGGGAAAGATTGACGGCAGGAGAAGAAGACGACAGAGGATGAGATGGTTGGATGGCATCACCAACTCAATGGACATGGGCCGGAGTAAACTCTGGGAGTTGGTGACGGACAGAGAGGCCTGGCGTGCTGCTGTCCATGAGGTCGCAAAGAGTTGGACACGACTGAGCGACTGAACTGAACTGAAACATTACTCATCTGAGGCTTTAACCCTCTGTGTCGGAACAGTAAGAGAATAAAAGGGGGGAGTGAAAGTGTCAGTCGCTCAGTCGTGTCTGACTCTTTGCAATCCCATGGACTGTAGCCCACCAGGCCCCTCTGTCCATGGGACTTTTCAGGCAAGAATACTGGACTGGGTGGCCATGCCCTCCTCTAGGGGATCTTCCCAACCCAGGGATCGAATCCAGGTCTCATGCATTTCAGGCAGATTCTTTCCCACTGAGCCATCAGGGAAGTCAAAAGGGGAGGAGGGCAATGTCCAAATTCCTGTATCATAAAATCAGATATAAAAATGCATTTCATGCTGTTCATGCTTGGCCAGTCAAGACTATAAGGTCCTGTACAGATATGAAGATCTCTAAAAAGCACACAGAGAGTTTAAGGCCGAAATCAAAACTCTCTGTTCCAAGCAAGAGTTACATGAGACTGCATATCAACTCCAATGATACCGCAATTGCTTGGAACATTTCTAATATTTCTTTTGTTCCCTTCGGACTTTAAAAAAAAGATATTTTCAGGATGCAACTTTTACTTCTTTAAAGGTAAATTTAACTGTCACAATAAGAAGGCACCCAGAGTCTAGCCTGCTAATGTGAGTAATAGCACTGGGATAAAAACAAGGCTGGTTCAGAAGCAGTGAAACTGATTACCTTGTGCTTTTAGTCGACCTGTCCTTGCCCTGCTGCCTGACCCACCCCAGTGCTGATGGCAGGGACCCCGTCCTCCCACAGCCTGTGGCTCACACGAGTAATGCTGCTTGATCAGATATTTCTGGCTTTTCACCTTCCAGACACATGGTAGGATTGCATTTCCTCAGCTCCTTTAGCTGGGTGAAGCCATGTGAAATGTTTTAGAAAGTTACAAGTTATGAGTGGAATGTTGGTGGGAGATTTCACTGCTGAAAAGAGACCTTCTAGATTTCTGTTTCCCTCTGCATGGATTGGACACATTTGAAACAGTGGCTGCCCCATTGGTCTGGGACTCTGACTGACAAGAATAAGCAGAATCCTTCAACCTTTGATCCAACTCTCCATAGATATGTGGCATGAATGAGACATGAATGGTTGAATTCCCTAGTTGTCCAGTGGTTAGGACTCTGAGCGTCCAAGGCAGGGGGTATGGGTTCAATCCCTGCTCGGAGAACTAAGATTCTGCATGCTACGTGGCACAACCAACAGGAAAAAAAGAATCTTTGTTGTCTTATGCCACTGAGATCGGGGGGCTATTTGTTATTGCAGCATAACCTAGGCTATCCTGACTAGTACAATGAGAAGCAGCTCTAGCTCTTCAGGGTCTCACTGGAATTCACAGTGAACACTGTCTGCTTTTTCCAGGCATGAGGTTAGAAACAACCTCCTGTTGTTCTTTGTACTGGGACACTTAGGACAAAGGCTCTGAACAATAAGAGGAACTTCAAAATCACTCCGAAGATGAAGTACTTATGATTGTATCACTCTTAAAGAGACTACCTTGAAAGAGTGCATTTATTTGTAAGTATTAAATTTTATTTGTTACCACAATGAGGGACCACTAGATCCCTATCAGAATGGCTAAAATTAAAAACAGTGAGAATACCAAATGCTGGCAAGGATGCAGAGAAACTGGATCACTCATGCCTTGCTAGAAAGAACGCAAAATGGTACAGCCACTCAGAACAGAAATGCAGCAGTTGCTTACAAAACCAATTATACGTTTATTATATAACCCAGCAATTTCACTCAGGCAAGTGAAAACATGTTCTCACAAAGTCTATATATAAATGTTGACAGCAGATTTATTCATAGTATCTGGAAACAACTGAATATACTTCCACGGGTAAATATATACACTATGGTAAATCTATACCATGGACTACTACTCAGCAAGAAAAAGAAACAAAGGATTGGTATGTGAAACAATTTGGATGGATCCCAAAGGAATTATGCTAAGTGAAAAAAAAAGAGATATAAATATAAGGGATTTTTGAAAAGATAAAATTACAGAATTGGAGAACAGTTAATGGCAGCCAGGGGTTAGGCAAGGTGGGAGGCAGGGAGCTGGCTCAGGCTATAGACGGGTAAGATAAGAAACTCTGGTCATGGAATTGTTCCATACCTTGACTTAATTACCACATGAATCTACACATGTGGTGATGACACTGCAGAGAATTAAATACACACCAACACAAGTGCATGTTCATCTGAATAAGGTCAATGGATTTTAACAGTGTCCTAGTGGCAACACTAAACTACAGTTATTTAAGAGCCCATCAACGGGGGGAACTGGGTGAAGGATGAACATATCTGCATGATTTCTCACAACTGCATGTGAGTCCACAATTACAACACAACAAAAGGTTTCTAAAAACCTTAATTGGCTAAAAAACCAAGAAACAAAAAGAAGCCCAACTGTATCTTTGTTCCCTGTACCCTTATCCTGGAGTATCTTACTTTCGTCCTTTATTTTTGGCTATTCTAGGCCTTCACTGCTGCGAAGCTTCTCTCCAGCTGCGGCGCATGGGCTTCTGGTTGCGGCGGCCTCTCCTGGGGAGCAGAGGTTCTTCGGCATCTGCCTTCAGCAGCTGTGGTGCGTGCACTCAGCAACTGTAGTGCTGGGCCTTAGTTGCTCTGAGGCACGTGGGATCGTCCCAGACCGGGGATTGAACCCGTGTCTCCTGCACTGGCAGTGGGGTTCGTTACCACTGCGTCACCGGGAAAGCCCCTTTCTAATTTTCTTTAGAGCACTTAAGCTACTAAACATCCCATGTGTTTATCTGTTACTTTTTGCCTCCTCTGCTGATATGTAAGCTCTACATGGATAGAGACTGTTTTGTTTTCCTGGTGCCTAGAACATCTCTGGCACCAAGTTGACTCCCAGGATTGATTTGTGGAATAAGTGAATGAATGTGAAATATGAATGGATGAATGTGCTTTCATTGCAGCACTTTCAACATTTTGGCAAGCTCTAAAACCTAAACAAAATAATCTGATCAACATTTTGCACATTTTCTAACTCCAAGAGTTACAGGTCTCAGTGCAGAACTATTCCTTTTACAACAACAGAAACGTAACTCATCTTCCCAAGTACACAATGCCTGCTTTGCTTTCAGCCTCCAGAGATTCAACCCGCCTCAGCAGAGGTGAAAGAATGAACCAAATTAGATAATTACAGAAGAATGCATTTCAGCTTGGGTGCCATTTGGCAAGCATAAATTCTAGGTCAGCTTCATGGATGCTTTATAAACTCAAGCAAAAAACAAAAACCTAATAGTAGTCAAACAAAAATGCCATATTTGAACCATGTAGCATAAGTTGAAATTAAATAATTACTCCTTTTTTTCTTCTTTGGCCACATGCCTTATCTCAGTGAAGCTGAGTTTATTCTAAGGAGCCAATTAAATGACCATCGAGGCCAAGCCGAGGCCAGGAACTTGAAGTGAATTGCAAACCAAACAAAAGAATAAATTGCACTCATTTCCTGGATCTGAAACCAAACCTTAACATGAACTGTTTACTGAAATGTGAACCAGCTAAAGTTTGAGAGTAATTTCCAAACACACCTGAGGATTCAGTCTAATCAAGTAACCGAACCCATATATATTTAAAAGCTTTTGAACAGACTCGGAAACTCACATTGGTAAACAAATCCCAGAACAAACTCAAGTGAAACTAATAGTTCTCTATTGTGAGTTGACTCAGGAAGACAATAGAAATGTGATGATCAACCTTCTCTTTTCCGAGTCAACGTTATAATATGGTAAGTTTGAACACAATTCAGCCTGCAATTATTTTTCCAAGGGAGACTATACGATCCTTTGATAGGTGTGTACTATGTGTAGGAGGAGGAAGGACGAAGTTAGGGGTCAGAATTATAACCGACACGGAAAGGAATCAGAGGAGATGAAGGGGACGCGTGTCCTTAGAGATGGGAAACCCAACGCTGTCTGGAGGCTTCGTTTTCACACTAGGAAGACACAGGGCCGTCCAGACACCAAAGCTGCAGGGGACACACCGCTTCCGGAGGCCGGAGGGCGGCCCTGGACCCTGGAGGGGCAGGGGCCTTACCTGTGGAGAGCTGGGCAGGGAGCGGGTTCATTTCCTTGTCCACCATCTTCTGGTACAAGGCCCTCAGGCTGAAAGGCTCCACCGTGAAAGGCAGGGTCCCGGTCAGCATGGCATACATGTTCACACCTCTGAAAGGAGAGACACACCAGAGCGTGAGACCGGAAGACGAGCCGGGAAGAGGAAGAGCGGGCGGCCAGGGGCGTGGGCAGCGGGGCCCGGCCACCCCCATGGCGCCCGGCCCCGCTCCATCGCCCGGCTCCGCTCTGCCCTGGAACAGCGAGCGTGAGCGGCACGGGTGGGACCACAGCTGGGGAGAGTCGGGCCGTGGTGACAACGGGGTTTAAGGAGCGTCCAGATGACACAAATGAACTTGTTATAAACCAGGAGCGGACTTAGAAAAGAGACGTAGAGGCACCAGAGGGGAGAGGCGGGGGATAACTCGGGAGTTTGGGATTAACACACACACACGCCACTGGATAGCACAGGGAACTCGACTCAATATTCTGTGATAACCTATATGGGAGCGAGTCTGAAGAAGAATGAACCCACGTATCTGAATAACTGAAGCTCTTTGCTCTACACCTGAAACTATCACAATATTGTAACTATCTTCTGATATAAAATGAAAATTAAAAAGAAACAAATTCAGGGACTTTCCTGGAGGTCCAGCAGTTAAGACTCCACACTTCCACTGCAGGGGACACTGGTTCAATCCCTGGTCAGGGAACTAAGATCCCACAGGCCATGGGGCACAGCCAAAAAAAAATTAATCAACTTTTAAAAAAGTAAATAAAGAGATTCAGAAGCTACCCCCGGAAGAAGGGGAAACTATGTCCTTTTCTTCTGGAAGGAAGTCCAGACCAAATGATGTGAAAAATGCCTGGGAAATCTCATGCAAGTGAGAGCCTTGAGTAAAAGTAGTTCCGCCATGATGCGGTTTTCGAGTATAGTTTACAAGGTGGAGCCAGGAGGAGGCCAGACCAAAAAAATACACGGCAAGACCCTCCACCGGAGGGCAAGTCACAGTGTGGCCAGCCTGCTTGGCTACTACTCAGCCCTTGGAGACAGAAGTCTCACACCCCAAACTGGTGCTTTGCTCTTCTCTTGAATTCCGTTTTGGCCTGTACCTAGAGAAATTCCTTTGGAGGTGGGGAGGAAGGGAGGTCTCTTTCCCACTCTTGTTTTTCATATCATTTTTTATTGGGAGATTCTGCCATCCAGCTCACATGTGGTCAAAATGCCTTCCGAATGGGCTTTACCACCTACATCCAAAGCCACTCTAGAGAAGAGCAACATCTCTTGGAGGATTTTCTTTTCCTGATGTGCACAACCTAATATCATTTTGATGAGATTTCCTGATGGGGTGAAATGCCTGGCCTGCCAAGAGGTCTCGAGTGCTCAAAAGCGCCCAAGGGAGTATTTTAAAAAGAGGCAACAAGATCTCCAGTCAAAACAAATCCAATGAGACTGATTGAAATGAAGACCCGTGGGGCCCATTCCACTGAGGTGCCTCTGAATTATGGCACTCTGGAGAGGGACAGGTCTGGAACCCACGGGCTCGGCTAGATGTCCTTCTCGAATTGCAGGCGTATTCTAAGACCCAGTTCTTGCTCTGTAACTCGAAGTGGAGTTAGGGAGACAGATACATCTCCATTCACTTCTCAAATGCTTGCAGGCTGGCTCTCAGTCTCAGGCAGTGGTATTATGGCTGGCCCCCAGGGGGGATACCAGACAAGGAGCCGCCATCTCAGACTTAGAACTGGGTGAAGGCAGACAACCAGCAAATCAACAAATAAATAAGTACAATCCTTTCAAGTAGTGAGTGCAGAGGGATAAGAAAATGCTGAACTTTGCTGCTCTGGACCCCAGAGGAGTTCAATTAAGGGAGAGACATGACTATAATAAGTACTTGAAGATGGAAGCCCTCTCGGGATAGGTATACGTGTGTGAGTTTCTCTGTCTAAGCCAACTGGTTATGAGGATAAATCATGTGGGCCAAGAAGTGGAGACAAAAGGGCTTCCCTGGTGGTCCAGTGGTTTAGAAATTCTGCCTTGCAAGGCAGAGCACACCAGTTCGATCCCTGATCCAAGAAGATTCCACTCGCTGCAAGGTAACCAAGTCGATGTGCCCCAACTACGGAACCCACTTGCTGCAACCCCCGAAGCCCGAGTGCCCTGGGGTCTGTTTTCTGCAATCAGAAGCCTGTGCACCGCAACTAGAGAGTAGCCCCCACCCGCAGCAATGAGAGAAAGCCCTTGCTCAGCAACAACAACCCAGCACAGCCAAAATAAATAAATCAATATTTAAATTTTAAAAAAGGAAATGCAGGTCATCGTCTGGCATGAAATGGGTGAAAGGGGCTCAGAATGGGGACCAGCAGACTAAGGCACGTTGTTCATTAAGTTCTGAATGGGAGGGACAGAGTGCGGTGGCAAGAGAGAGGAGGAAAATTAGCAACAGGGACGTTTGAAGGGGAGACACCAAGACGCAGTGTGGAAAGCTGGACGATGGTGGTGATGTAACAGAAGCCAGGAAGCCGGGAGGAGAGGTAGTCTGGGAGCAGAGGAAAAGGGGATTAGGGGAACTCACCTGTTTGAGAACCTTCAATGCATTGCTGCGTTGTGGGTACGTTTGAGGCAGAGCCAACCATCCTTGCTTGGAGGATTCTTAGAGACTGATAAAGAGCGAAAGCTAAGAGGGCCCTCCAAATTGTACCATTTGTGCATTTAAAGGGGTCTTGGACACATCGCTCTTGGGGATGGAAACCCCGTGGGACACTCCACAAGGTTGTTGTTGGGGACCCCGGTAAAGCTTAAGAGTCAAGCTCTTCCAACCCCCTAAGGCAGCTCAGGCCATTCAGGGCAACTCTATGCATGGGCAAGGGCTCAAATACTGAGCCAGAGTCTACAGCTCCTACCCATCAGCTGTGGGACCAGCCAGTCCTGTCCACACTCACCTCGGTGTGCATTAATTCTGGCTCTGACACTTACACCTAAAGTTGAAGAGTCTGGTACTTAAACAAAACTGTTTTTTCCCACAGGTGGTTTTTCTTGATACTCAATCCATGTAGTAGGCTTCCCTGGTGGCTCAAATGGTAAAGAATCTGCCTGCAATGCAGGAGAGTCAGGTTTGATCTGTGGGTCAGGATGATCCCCTGGAGAAGGAAATGGCAACCCGCTCCAGTATTCTTGCCTGGAGAATCCCATGGACAGAGGAGCTTGGAAGGCTACAGTCCATGGGGTCACAAAGAGTCGACACAACTCAGCAACTAAACAACAAACTGCTTATTTGACCAAATTCACTCCAGATTCCCACTTCTCTCGGAGAAGTTTATCATCAACAAAAACAGTCATAAATCTGTAAAGAAGACCCAGCTCTCTATCCAGTATCTCTTACCTATAAAATGTGGATAATAATAGACCCTATTTCTCAGGTTGTATCAGGGTCAAATGAACTAAGCCACAGAAAGTACTGAATGCCATGCCTGGCATAATCTTAGTACTGATAAATGTGACCTATTGTTTCATCACAAAACTTTTTAAAAACAAGAGATAAAAAGCTACAATTATATTTGTACCCTATTGCCAAATAATAATGGAAATCTACATTAATAGTCCTATGGCCACAGTACATTTGAAAAGGGAAACCAGACTGAGCATCTTAATCCCCCTCCCCTAGAGTTTTCATACATGTTTAATATCTGGATAAGGAAAATCTAGCCCCTTTGACATTTCAGAAGGATGTGAGAATACCAAGGGAGAAATGTGGAATGCGGTGTATAAACCTCCGTAATCCCACAGAATTAGTAGAAGTTTCAAAACATGTTCAGAATTTCCTGATGTGTCTTTTGAAACATGGCCCAGGGGCTTTCTCGCTTCTCCCTGGCAGACATGGGGCCCCCAAGAACCACAGAGAGTTTGAAAGAAAGTAACGAGATATTGGGATAAAGGAGGGCGACATGCATGTGAGCTCAGTCGCTCACTCATGTCCAACTCTGCATTCCCATGGACCGTAGCCCACCAGGCTCCTCTGTCCACGGGATAATACTGGATATGGGTGGCCACTTCTTCCTCCAGGGGATTTTCCAGACCCAAGGATCGAACCCACATCTCCTGCATTGCAGGCAGATTCCTTACCACTGAGTCACCGGGGAAGCCCAAAGGAGGTTGACAAGAAATAAAATTCAAGGCTTCCAAACAGAGAGGAATTAGGGTGAGTCACCAACGGATGCAAGCAAATCCAGAGACACTGACTAGGTGGAATACTTTGATGTCAAAAGAGAAAGAAAAAGTGCACCGGAAGGGTAGCTGGAAGAAGAGAAGAAGGGGTCCCGGGAAATGCAGATGTGGAATCTTTGGGATTAAACCAGGGGCCAGGGGACATTCCTGATGGTCCCGTGGTTAAGAACTTGCTGTGCAATGCAGGGGTCTCGGGTTCAGTCCCTGGTCAGGGAACTAAGATCCCACATGCCAAAGGGCAACTAAGCCTGTGGGCCACAACTAGAGACCTGATGTGCTACAACTACTGCAGTCTGCACTCTACAGCCCTAGCGACACAACTAAGACCCAACGCAGCCAAATAAATAAATGAAAATAATTTTTTTTTAAATTAGGAGCCAAGCAGTGGTCCTGATATTTAGTCTAATACACAAAAATACTCCCTGGAGGGAAAGCTAGGGTATCACCTGGCATCTCCGAAAGGAAAGACAGAGGGACTCAGCTCCCTGGAGAGAAGTCAACCAGCAACTTTAACAAGAAAGAGGGAGGGGTCCCGGGAAATGCAGATGTGGAATCTTTGGGATTAAACCAGGGGCCAGGGGACATTCCTGATGGTCCCGTGGTTAAGAACTTGCCGTGCAATGCAGGGGTCTCGGGTTCAGTCCCTGGTCAGGGAACTAAGATCCCGCATGCCAAAGGGCAACTAAGCCTGTGGGCCACAACTAGAGACCTGATGTGCTACAACTACTGCAGCCTGCACTCTACAGCCCTAGCGACACAACTAAGACCCAACGCAGCCAAATAAATAAATGAAAATAATTTTTTTAAAAATTAGGAGCCAAGTAGTGGTCCTGATATTTAGTCTAATACACAAAAATACTCCCTGGAGGGAAAGCTAGGGTATCACCGG